CAGTTATCATGAACATATAAACGCATAGACTGACACAGATTATTACAGGTTGAGGACGATGAATCAATTTGCAATTAACCGAGAGACACTTTATGGGTAAACTTCCACGCGTAAAGCTCTTGGCACAGATTGTGACAAGATTTCGAACGTATGCGCACGCATCAACATTCACGAGAGGCCGACATTTCAAAACCTGCCGCATGTGTCACAGGTGAGTTACCATGTTATCCCTTTTTGTGAATCGTGACAACGCTTGGGTTCTAAGCTCTGTCCACGCAGAGCAAAGTTGTACGCAAATATGCCTTGTCCGTTGACACGCTGTGATATTTTTTACTGTCTCAATCCGCAGGTGTTTGCACGAGAGTTTGCTCAAACAGGTTCTTAAAAGTTCGTGATCCAACGGTAGCCTGACTGTCTTTGCGGCGGAATATGAGTAGCCCTCTGGGAGAATGTCTGAGCGTGACTGACCAACAGTGGAATACCACCAAAAATTGCACAGAAATCCTGTTTGGACGAGATGTACCAGATGTCAGTGAGACAAAATGATTACTTTATAGGAGACAGGATATCCTCTGCCGGTACCGTGCGCGGGTTGTGCGTGGTTGTTTATGTTCATAAAAACTGATCGTGGAAAGTCTCCAATCAGAAGGACTGAGTTTTGTGTAAAAATTTGAATGGTTGGATTATCGCGAGCCACGCCTGCCACTTCGTCGCGTGGCAGGCTGTACTTCAGCGAGAAATATTTTACGGACGATCGCCGAGTATCTGTGGATTTAATGTCGGTCGATTTGGCATGAAATAGTCATGGATCTCCAAGCAGACTGATGACTCTTGAGTTGAATCTAACACAACCTTGCGATCTACGTCTGGTCGGAGTACAATTTAAGCGGAACGATAGTAAGCACGTAAACACTGGAGTGTTGAGTACACCTTTGTGCAAACGTGTCTCGGACCCGATATGACCGTGGTTCAGTTCCCAAATTCAGTGTGCGCAAATAGCCGACTGGGAGGTCGGATAATAGCTGTCAGAGAGTCCGAAACATTAAGCGGATTTATGACAAGTGAGTAAATTACTTGTTGCTACCCGGTAAGTAACGTTGCCAAGTTTACTGAGATCACCGAAAAATCACTTTACACTCGCTATGCGCTTTACACAGTATGATAATAACCGGGAAATAAAGAGCCAAACAGCGATTGTAGCCACCAGCCGTTCTGGAGGTTTGTTTAACTCAGTCAATCATGGTAACCATACCGACCGTACGACGGTTGGATCGTGTCAATAATCCTTTTAACTGAAAACAAGCAATTCAGGTGGGACAGGGATCAGATAGGATAGGAATTAGTTATCAGTTGACAAAGAACACATAAATCCAGGAGTATGAGCGCGTGGTTTCAGTATGACTGAAAAGTTGTGGCCCTTGTAGTAACCCAATCACCCAATTGCAGGGGGTTGGCCTAACCTGAGGGCACAGAAAATAAGGCATTACTGTCTCATTCCTAATGCGGCTGCGCACAGCAGGTGCCTTCTGAGCAACACCGGACTGTTTGGTTGCACCTTGTCGTATGTAACCCGCGGGATCATTGCAGCACTCAAGTCCGAATACCACATCAATGTGGCAGCTTCATGTCGGGAAAAGTTGTAGCGACCCAGTCACCCACATACTTGACTGTTCAACTCAATCGCTCACTGAATCGCGAGGTTTGTCTATTTTCTCATACGCACACGTCGCATAAAGCTGACTCATCGGACATCGATTGTCTGCACCGCCTAGTCAGCGTAGCAACTACTCATGTACCGACTCGCCCACGAACACTCACTGGGACCTACATAAAGGGATACCGAACCCAGTCAGGACACAGACTCGCGCGCGCGTAGGGAGCAGGACGCCAACCTCTCCACAAGTCCACGGACAACCATGGAGTACGTGTAGCAGTCGAACTGCGGAGAAAAACACGTTCCCGCCGTCCGGACTTCCACCAAGGGTCTCTCACATATGATAAGTCCCTTTTTTTCGACTCGCTCCCATTTCGCACTGTATTTATTTTTGTGCGTATCGCAACCATGCTAAAAACTTCTATTAGTGCACACATTCACCTTCTGATTTGTATTATGGCTATCACCACCTGTGCACTAATACCTTAACACCGTTAGCTAGATGTGAATTAGCTCCCGTAAAACCACGAAAATTCTGTTACTTTTAGAACTGGCTCAAGGGTGAGGCGAGTCCGTGGTCAGCTATTTCTGGAAACTTTTGGCCCATTCTCCTTTTTTTCCTGAATTCGGTACAATGTCAACCGTAAGTCTACAAATGAGAGAGTATGTTTATCTACTGACTGACTCTCAATTGCTACTGAAACCTGTGGAGAGTGGTACACAGTTCTCCTTCATTCAATAATCAAGCTGCCAGGCGATGAACAGGCCCATGCTATCAGTCCTAATGATAACTCCCAGCTGTCAGAATTATTGTAGTCCAAGCGTAGGTTTTCAGCTGGAGGATAAAACATCATTTTTATTGTACAAGAATAAGCCAATAAGAGATGGAGGACCACTCTGACCTTGGGCACAACAAGCCCCACGCAGTGCATAGGTACTGAGACAGTGTGCGTGAGACAAATTGATGCGTTGGGTTTCCTGATATGGAACTTCGAATCACGCGTTAGCCTGACAATCCCGAATAGGAAAAAATAATTATAATGGCTCAGCTGTAACACCCTTTCGGTGCCTAGCTACCATGCCACCCAAAGGAAGCACGAGGAATGGTATACTGCCAGGGTGGTTAAGCCCAGACGGGAGAAATCGATATACAAAGGTCGGGTTGGAGCCACGGATCTTCCGGTGGGCGAATTCGCGCTCTAATTACTGATCCACCTCGTCCCTAATATCAGAATGAGGAACTAGGTTCGACAGTTTACAGCACTCAGCTGTCCAAGTGTGTGGCGTCGACAAATGAGCAGGTCGGTCGATCGGTCAGACCGGCACTGTGCAGTGTCACCGTCTGGAAGATCGACAACAGCAAGCGGAATTTCGGCTCTGCAGTGTGGTTGGCGCTCGTTGCTTTCGAGGCCAGTCTCCCGATTCTGGTCGACGTTGCGACCGCATGAAAATCACAACAGCACGAATCAGGACAGGCTCAGCAGACATGGCACGAATACTCATGAGTAACAAGGTCAGGTTTGCACATTTACACACATACACACGTGCCAATGTTTCAGTGCCAGGCTGGGTGACCTCTGCGAATGATAAATGGCGGGTACGGATGAGCAACACAAGTGGAGCCTCCACTAGGGAACTGATGAAAAAAGAAGGAACAAAAGCTTTCATCCCTGTAGCCGAGGAGAAGCTCGTAAAATTAACCTACGGCCTAACGGGGCTTGACCTAGTGAATCACAGGCTTTGCGCCAGCCTGAGGAATATGTTGCTTGAACCTGGTTCAGAAGCACACTACTGTGTTCCTTCATTCTCAACAGAAGAGTGAATACTATGCCCGAAATGTGTCATTTCCCTCACTTCATTAACTCTGTGCCTCGTAATATACTATTGGAGACAGGACCAGGCAGCTCTGCCAAAGAATGAAGACTCGTAATCGACTGAGGACACTTGCCGTTAAAATGGAGAAAACCGGCAGGTGCAACCAACCAATCAATCTTGAGAAGGTCAAACTAGAGCGCAATCTATAACAAATTGGGGCCTATCAAAACAAGGAGATAAAACTGTTGAAAATAGAAGGTATCGGGATAATCCATCAGCTAGAAGAAAGTGGATCGAAACTCAACACGGATCACAGAAGGATCGATAAGTTCACGAGAAAGTTTCCTCTCAAATATCCACTCACGTGGAGAGGTAATAGATACTCATCAGATACTACGTAAGCGCACATGGGCGAGGAGGGTGTGTTCACTCAAGTGCTTGCTCATCAGGTCTCTTTTGGTAGCGAAAGCATTGCAGGTCAACTACCAAGCTTGGCGAACAGATCATCGGACATCTGATCAACAACTACGATCGACCCTAGTTAGTTTCTGGACATCGTGGTGTCTAGCCTAGTTTTCTGTATTGTTCACATGACGCCTGCCAATCAGCCAATCAGCTGTCACTAAGAAGGTCTCTATCTTATTCTGTGTCGGCAACACGCGTCTGTTGTATGTGCTTACTTAATCACGATACAACCCGCTCTGACTGTTCAAACTCATCGTCTTGAAGTGGATGTATCTTGACATGCAGACAATACAGTCTCTATTTCAGCTTGTTTCTTGTGCTTGACCTGTGCTAAATGAAGGGTCTTGGCTTTTCGAACATATGAAAAAAATCATTCGGCTGTAGCACCCTTTCGGTGCTGCCACGATGGCTGGGATACTACCAGGTTGCCCAAGCCTGGACAGGAGACGTGGAGAAGCAGATGTCGGGTTCGAACCACGGACCTCCCTGTCAGTAAATTCGCGCTCTAACCACTGAGCTAACTGTATGACTTGATACTAACTTGAGGAGAACATGTTAGTCAACCGATCTTCAGTCTTATCCGAAATAAGAACGTTTGGGACAGTTCTATTTACTTTGAGATGTATGTAACCCGAGCGTTAGGACTGGGTCTGTCACTTCAAAGACTGATGAGACCTACCCTCACTTCTTTTCAGCCGCTCGTGGCGGAATGTTTAAGTTGTCAACCGGTGGCTGGAAGGTTGCGGAGTTTCGTCAGTGGTTTTTGGACTTCAGATCATCAGGGACAAAAATAAAATTTCCAGGCAGATGGTATGTTTGGACATATAGCCTCTATGCTTCAATGGACCAGTCAACTTGCATATCCCTTCTTTTTTGGTGGGGGGAGGTGTTTAGTCTCCCGTTCTGGAACCACTGCGTCAACACAGCTGATCCCAACCAATCCCACAAACGCAAAATCCTGATTGGACAGGGGATTTCCAGAAGTATGTGTGTGTCAGTTTAAATAAACATCTTGTACATGTAAACAGTGAAAGACATTGGCATTTGGTTTACAATAAAATCTATGCTAGATATCTACAAAGTGTCTGTCTACACTCTCAGTAAATGCTGTTGGAGGGGTTTTGGAATCTGACAATTTGTAAATCTCCGTGGAATCTAACAGAGGTGCTTTCGATATCGGTTCAACTATTGCTTGGAACGAGGATGTGTTTATCAGTGAGGCAGAGATGTTCGGAGACTCACTGCAGAAGTATTGATTGCCTGATTCGAAAGAGAGAGATTGTGGTGACCAGGGTCCCACCATATCATCCGGCACCAATTTCGGATCTACGTAGACGAACGTATCAGAATGTATGGGACAGCGTCGAATTTTTGGTTGAGGAATTTGTGGTGGGCAGTGTGACTGTGAAACCGTCAAGGGGTTGAGTGTCAGGGTGATGGACGTCGCACCAAGCAGTCCGACATCACTTGTGGTTATGAGAAGTGGCGTGACGGATCGAGCTGCTGAATTCGGGTTCGCTCTGCGTAACTCCACTCCTGTAGCAGTTGAACTCATGTCCGATCTGTATTGCACATTGGTTGGCATAGATGGGTTTTGTCTTTGCGCAAAGTGAGGCGTAACGACAGTTTTCTCAACCGCTTTTGGACTGGCTTGGTCGGGTTTGGGTCGAGTGCAACTAAGCCGTTTAAAGTTTAGTCGATAGGCAAGGAAAATGAGTGAACAAAGCACAATGCAACCAGCGGCGGATAAAGAGATTAAGAGCCAGATATTCACTTGAGAATGGATGGCAGCTGAGTCGATTTTCGAGTGGGACTTGCCCGGTTCTGTCGAAATTCCGCTCGAGATTCTCACAAAGGAATTGTCTATAAAATGACTGGCTTCGCGTTTCACTGCATCGGATTCTGTAATCGGTCGACTGCGTTCATCCACCAAACTGTGTTCGGCACTGTCACCGACAGGTCTTGATTGGTTAGAATATGTTCCATTATTAGCCTCCGGGTAACTAATAGGTTTGAAATCAAATAGAAAAGGTGTGGTTATGAATTCCCGATGGACTGACTGATTGCGGTAGCTTGCAATCGATCACCAGGTACAAGTTATAAGTAATTGATACTCTGTATATTGTCCGATGTTGCAAGGAACAATTAGCACGTAAGACAGACAGACTGGACGCTTTGGGGTTCACTGCTTGTAAGCTAGGTGGCCTTTGACTAGCACGCCGAACTTTGCAGGTGTCTCACAAACCACCCGTCATCTGTCGGGGCTGCGCATCACCACTGTGCAGGCTAAAGTAAGTACAGAGGATCACACGGTTGCTGAAAACTCTTCAACAGCCCACGACCAGTTTCGCCCTTCCAGTTTGGGCTCATCAGGTAGGCGCAGTCCTCGAGTTTCCGTTAACCTTATGTTCTACTTGAACCCAAATTAGATTGTTTTTGAGAAATCCACTCATTTGCAAGTCAATGTGATTTTAGCTCTCAGATGGGGAACACGTGAGAGATTCAGTTGTGTCTCGTGAAAACCAAAGTGATTTGCAAATGAGTATATTTCTCGTAAGCACAGAGGCATCTTCTCGTCTAGTTTGCTAGTCAGTTGGAAGTTCGGCGAACCGATCAACGGCCATAAAATTAACAACCGGTGAAGGTGCCCTCCCGAATATGTTTCGGCCGAACATTCTATACACTCAACATTCCATTTGGTGCGGTTTCGATAAACAATGTCTGAGCGGCCTTCAGTCATCCCGATTAGTTTGACAGGGGATTCTCTGTTTAGAAAAAAATCATCAAAGACGCAGACCTAAGATTACGTCCGCACCCAACTTCTAGTTGATATTGGTCGGCATTTCTGTAGTGTTGCGTTCCGTGCACGAGAATTCCCATCGTTCGGCACAATATCGTCGTGGTGATGGCTGTCAAAACCTTCTGGGATATAAAAACTATAATAAACGCATGCATCTTGTAAAGTCACGTGTGATATCCAGACAGAAATGTGAACTAACTCAGAGCTTTAAATGCATTTAGTTCATGCAAAAACAACAAGTCAAGGGGTGAACTCACTGTTTAAAATAACTGTCGGGCGCGAAATGACCTTTAAATTTTGGCACATACTGGATGTTCGCATATCGGGTCACGTGAACAAAAGGTCGATATGTCAAGCCGGCTGCTAGATCATTCAGTAAAAGGCCATTGTAGTATGCACCTGGGGAGGAAAACAGTGGAAAATTAGTAAAGTTGATCTTCGGATTATTTGCTTCGATTAACAATTGCGTTGCCAACTTTTCGTCAACAATCGAAGTGTATTGATCAGGTGAAATACAGTGGTTTACAGAAATTCATTTGCACCATCATGTGGGACGTTCTGTAGGGCAGGTGTTAAATACCTACAGTCATTGTAAAAACACTGAAACTCTTGATCAAGCGTTTGTTCTGCCTTGTGTCTCTACCCAGTTCGTCCGGTTAGTTCACAGCAAGTCCGAGAATCAACTGAGAATTGGGTTCGCTCCAATGAAACTGCCATATCAGTGGTTTCTATGTTCTTCTGTTTGAAGAGGTGAGAGTCCAAAAATTGTACAGACAAGGCGGGCGCCCCAATGGTATTTATCCAGAGGAGGATGTGCGTGTCTAAACTGCGTTAACTCCACGAAAAGCTCCTCAAAGGGAGGTTGTTCTAAAACAGAGTACAAATGAAACACTCCCTCTCGGATTTCCGTTACATTTCGTGTACCTAGAGGGAACATCCCATCTCCTAGACGGTCATAGGTACCTCTTCTTAGGGGCCAGTGAACGTACCAAGACACGTGATACACAGAAACAAAATAACGCAAGTTAGGAGGGACGCAGGACCACCCTGAATGACGTAAGGCGTAGACACATTTCATAGCATCGGAGATTTGCGTAGGAACAAAGCCTAAAGAAACTTGGATTAAGAAACATGCTACTCCTTTTGTTTCGCGATTCGGATCTGCGTAACGCACTACAGTTGGTTCCTGTGGTATACGTATGCACTGCCTACCGATGTGAAGTATTCCACTGAGGACTGTATCAGAAACACATCTGTTGGGAACGCTGGTTCCCAGGTGTCCCTCGACAGCGAACGGAGAAGGAATCGATGAACGATGGCTGAGCTATCACAGGAAATACCACAAAAGATGTCTGCGTCTATGGGCAGCAATGGATTGGACATTTCAAAGCGGGACGTCTTCAGCATGCTTTGAGAATCTGATCCATCTTACTCATTTATCGTTCACCTGTAGCACCCTTTCGGTGCCTAACTGTTATGCCACACGAAGGAGGCACGAGGGCTGGGG